AAGCAATGTTGCCAGTGCTGGATCCAGTAATTCCGCAGCTGTGGCGGCTGCAGCCGTCGCAGCCGGCGAACAGGCCCGACTGGCAACGGCCAGTCCGACTCGAAAGTAGGACCAGCGTCATACAGGGCAACATGGGTGTATCGCATGCTGTGTAGCCTCAGGCAGCTCTTCCTACTTGTTTCGCCTCCTCTCAAGCCAACGTCAAGCTGGTGTCAAGGATTTCGCTACTACGATCCACCACGCAGCGCCGCCTATGGCCAATTATAAGGCGGTTGCACTTGTAACTTCCGCTTCCAGCGCTCTGGCGCCAATCGGGAAGGACAAAAGCGTATCCGGCCGCGACCTGGTTGGCCACGATTTGGCACGCAGGTCGTCTCATGGTTGCCTCGGTCACCCCCCCTTAGAATGGGAAATCCAGCTGAGGCCTCGACTGGCTCAACTTGGTGTTGCCTCGCTTTGCGAGAGTTGCGGATGGCAGTCTGTCGCCCTTGCGTTGTGCCTCGTAGCACGACCATTGCGGTCATTATCTCATAGGAAAGGCATAGATCGACAGTACTCCGCAATTTTAATGGCATTCCAGGCGGTCTCTATGCGTAAAGAGGATAGCGTCTTTGGCTTTTCTTCTTCTTGCTCAACCATCATGTGGTTCTGGTGCAGGACCATGGTCCTTGGCGATAGCTTCCTGTGAACCATAAGGAACTAGGTGATGCGATATCTGCCATAGCGGTAGCCGGACAACTTGCTGACGATACCATTTGTACGGTCCACGGCGACGAGCTGGAATTTTATCCTTGTTGTACCACGGCAACCAGACCCCGTGGTATCTACTCGTCGTTAGTTGTTACGAGTTACAAGCGAATGCCATATGAGGGAAACGGGAGATCGTCCATTAGCCCGGCGGCCGTGATGATGACACGTTCCGGTAACAACCTGGGAAGTGGAGGAGGCGCGACGCAATGTTATTCCAGCCATTATAGGTGACAGGTGTCAGGGAGTCTTGCATCGGCCTAGTAATAATATTAATATACGGACTACGAAACCGCTTACCAATTAGCCTAGCCAGACGACAGTCGAATCCCTGCGCATTGCTTTTTTCTTTCTTTGTCCCTCTCGCGTCTCTTTGTCTCCAATCACGTCCTATGTATCCCACCAGACGCCGCTGGGCCAATCGTCGAGGGTCGAAGCAGCAACATCGAGAACAAAGAAACCAGACAGTCTGAGAGCCTGTCATTCTACTGATCCATGTTGCTGGGACTGTCGACCTTTTACTTAATATTGATGATTGATCGTTAATGATCCTACACGTCAACAAGGAATGGCTGTTTCGGGCCGCTCCCGACACACGAGGTTATTTTCTCTTTCTTTGTCAACCGTTACAAGTCAAGTGTGTCCACCTTGCATATTGAAGTTTGCGAGGCCGACCTAGGTAGTGTATCATTCTCACGCGAAACAGCGGAGCTGGAAACTGGACTTTGTGACATGTAGTTCACGACACAGTCTATTGAATTTGCCACCACTTCTTCTTTTTTAGACCACCTTTGGCGAAAGGATGGATGATTCCGCCACGAATCAGCGTACCGAAATCGAAAAGGTAGTGGATGACCATGCCAAGGGTTTGTGCTCCTTCAGCTTGGTCTCCATTGACGTTGTGGCTAAGTACAGCTCTAGGGCCAGGGGGGATATGTCATCTCAACATAAAAGCGTCGAAGTAAGGGAGGCCTTCCAACCCTATTTCGGAGTAGCGCCGAGCTTGATGGATGCAAAACAACTGGGTCTCTGAGTGAACTCCATACCTAGTCTATTGTACTCGGTGACCGTTTTCTGTCTTCTGGCCAGTGTTGGCGCCGCCACTTTGGATGTCTGTAACTCAGTACGGAGCAGTCCGCGCCTTGGCTAGATAGGGTGCAGTACCCGTTCCACCAGGGAGTGTACTGGAAGATGGAGAAAATGGGTAGCTTTGTCAACAATATCCTCTAACTACCAAATGAAAGCACATCGGTAACCGTTCGTTTAAAGGTGATAATCTCCGGGTTCTGTGCGACGATGGTCTCATGGCTGTATGTAAGTATGTATGTATTCACTGTTGAGAGGTTGTGGCTAGTGGAAAGTACCAGTAGATATCGCTTCGTAGTAGGAAGTACCTTACGGTAGGTCGATGGAACCGGACGGACACATCCGATCTGGTCCACCAGCATAACGCACCGCCGATTCTTTCCTAAAGAGTGGACAATCAGGCTGAGCAAGGGTGCTTTACAGTCTTCAGGGCTTACCTTCTTTGGGATAAGTAACAGGACTCTACTACAAGGCAGTACTGTACGTTTTACTTCTAGTTGGCAGCAGAGGAGAAACGTGACGATGTTAACTGAGTATTGCATCATCATCTGAGGGAAACAATCAGCTGAGAATCAGAGCACCAACGTACATAAGCCTGGAGAATAGTTGACTCAATACGGAGCACTCAGGATTGAACTGGAGCTTAGACCCCTTCGCCATCATGTCATCAATCATGACTCGAGACAACTAGGCCGTGCCACCTCGGTTTCAAATAATAGCTTGGAAAGCTGAACAGACGACGTAAACGGGTCAATAGTTCTCTAGTACTAGATGGGCGCTTACTGTCCACTATCCTGTTATTCACGCTGCTTTGCCTCATATCGAACTTTTGTTGCCTACCATTCCCCAGGGACCTACATAATTACCTAGCTGCTCATACATATGCTGGGGGTCATGGTACCCTCCATCCCAAGTCTCGCTCGGCAGGTGATGGGGGCCAAGTTCCAGAGGCAAAAGTTAGGTCGCCAATTTGCATTATCGACAAAATTCCGTTTAATTGGTTACCCCGTAAATTTTTTGTCTCTTTTGGGTCATTTAATGAAGTCAAGTCGATCCCTGATCATGCCCTACACCACAGGAGTCACGTTAGTCCTGATGAAGTAGTAGCTGCATCGGATGGCATGTAAGCAATGGTACACCTGCAGCATTAGTGCAGGCAAACACAAAGTACGTAAAGAAGGTACGTAACTCATTCTTTACAGGCGACAGAGGTACAGAGGATGAAGCCCGAAGAACGAAGCGCGATCAGGCGATCAGGCGATCAGGATAGCACTGTTAATTGTATGAGCTATCCCCTACTCCGTACCTAGATATGATGGTTATCAATATGTACCTAATTAGCATGGCAGTAGTATGGATATCATCATGAAATACCGAAGATATGGTACATTGTGCTCCTGTGAAAGAGGTCAAGCCCCTGGCCATGGAACTTGACTTCGCCCGACAAAGAACTATGGGTACCCTATTATTGAAAAGTCTTGCTTGAGGAGGGCTAGACTACTTAGTGCTTTGTAGCTACGTGAGGACTGGAGAAGAGTGGGTATTATCCGTTTATCCCCGTGTTCATCATTAGCTGGTCTACTATCTACATACTACTACTACTGCTACAATTTGCGTCCCCACTCTCTAGCCTACAGTCAGGTAGACATACCTAAGGCAGAGTTTAACTAACTGTTAAACTCACATTGATAATAGATTTTCAAGGAGGAAATCCATAAAATAACAAATAGTACAGGCTTACTGTAATATGTCTCTGTATCCGTACCTCTGTCCTGAACACTCGGGGATCAAAACAAAAGTACACGGACCATCAGTACTATTAGCTACAGGCCCACCGATTGGCCCACGGGAGCAAGGATCGGGATATCCGCGGGCGTTCCAGCAGCAAGTGGCCGCAAAGGGCAAGCAGAGGTCCTTGCTAGTTGACCACTGCCTGTCAGCGATCTATCGTCATTTCTCCCTTGGAAAAAAAAGCCATAAGCATTTCCTGTTCTCCTATATATTACTTATATTGACTTCGGACTCAGTTTTATGATGAATACGACTCTTTATCCTTTTGTTTCGATTCTGAACCCTATCTAATCTATGTTATGGACTACTCAGACATTTGCCCTTTGCTGTTCTTCCTCTGTTTGCTGTCTGGTCCTCATTCAAGCCAAAGTACCACGACCAGCTAGGAAGTGCTAGCCCCGTACTTAGGCCGCCGGGTGGACACCCTTAGCCTCCTTTTGGCCCCGGGTTGTATCCATCGTTTTGAACCTTTTTTTCTGTAGCCCCGTTGTATTTTTGTTTTCTATTTCTATTTTTTCTCCCTTTTTTTTTCCCTGGATCAACAATCACTTGTCAGTTCTTTTTGATTTTCATCTTTTCTTTTCCATATTGGTTCAGTAGTAGGAAATCCTATACCTAATTTGAAATGTTCTGGCTAGCATCAATAAGTATTCGATTATTATATTATTATTTTCATTATTATCCAGGATAGTCAATGCTTCGATTTTTATAGAAGGATTTGCTGGCAGTTTTCTGTTGGAAGAGAAGCAGGAACGAAAATGGCCCATAAGAAAACTGCTCGAAAATTCATCTTTTTGATCATTATTGGATGCTAGCGAGGCTGCTAGCTACCACGTACTTACAGATACAGACCACATGCTTTACTTGCCTCTTACCCTGACTGCTATTCTTTCTCTTGCAGTCGACCTGAAGCAATTGCCTGCCTACTAGATACCACCCTTCTACTACTGACTGACCACTCGTTGCAGTCTGAGTAATAGAACGTGTGTCACTACGATATCTTCTGGCTCTTCTTTGGCTACTGTCACCCAACGACGACTAGTGACTCCTGTATCTGGACCGGATTCAACTGGCAACTACCTAAAACTTCATACAACTGTCTGGACTCTATCTCACTGCCGCTTGTGCTGCAACAGGAAACTGACAAAACTGTCGATATTGTCGAACCTGCAAGCTACACAGCTCTACTACATAAGTCTTTTTGTAATCCATTGTGCTTTATTGCCCTTCTCTTCTCCATTTGGTCTGCTATTTCCCCAGCCTTCGTCCTCTTTCCACCCTTCTACCACTGTCGCCGTCTACGCCGATCATCAACTATCTCGCCCTCGTGAGCTCTAGAGTATGCCTACCAGAGAAGTTCTGGTTATTCGTCAATGATGGATGGTTCCATCGCCTCGTCGTCTAATTTCTCTGCTTCCTCATCGTCTTCGTCCTCAGCAATCTTTCGTCCCCGCAGATCTGACGACTGGAATGAGTACCGTACGGTTATTGAGCGTCTTTATCGCGACCATCAGATGAAACTAAGAGATGTGAAACGAATCATGGAGCATGATTATAACTTCGTTGCATCGTACTGTCTTCCTTTCCCTCGTGCTCTTTTCTTTTTTTTCCCCCTTCTTCCCCTTGGTTTCCATTTCTGGTCGGCTGTGTTCAACATCACATGAACATCTCATTTGAGTTGATCATGCCTGTTTGATCCTCAAAATGAAGGGCTTTTCTAGATCCCGTTCAGCGGAGCAAGATCAGGCAACCCATTTTCTCCTCTTCTCGTATTTGCTTTGCTTTTATTCTCGTTTCTGGATTGCCTTGTGGTGAACTGCATCCGATGTTTGAACTTCTTGCCTAACTTGGACTTCCCAGAGAAAAGCAATTTAAGGACCGTTTGGCGGCATGGCATGTCCGAAAGAACATCAAGGCCAAAGAAGTCCATGTGATGATCCGAAAGCAGCAAAAGCGAGCTGCTCGAGGCAAACAAACCGCATTTCGAGTGGGTGGTCAGGAAGTCGACTCCAAGCGCATCGCTCGCTTTGTCCGTAGGTACGGTGCTTCCTGGGACAACTCTCGCAACGATTCCCATCGGACAAGTCCTGAACCAGGTGCGTCTCCTTACTTGAGTATTTGGACAGACTCCAGTTTGCTAATTCAGCTCGCAGATACCCCATCCGACATGAGTTGTTACACTCCCGAACCGGACGATCGATCTGCGGCTTTGTCCCCTCTACCGGAATCTCAATCGATGCACTGTGAGCAGCCCTCTTCTCCTTATTCGATCTATCATCTGCCACCTCCGATTCCTCCTCGCAATCGATCTCAAACTTATGATATAGCACATGCTACCGTCTTGAACCAAGTTGACAAGAACCAACAGATGAAAACAAGTTTGATCCTCTTCAAAGTCCCGAACTAGATGACAACCAATCTTTGTCGGCGGCTACTCTCAGTCCTACCTCGACACATCCTACACCAAGGCCAGTGGAAGACCTGTCGACTGAAAATGCTTGGCAGGCTTTGGATTCATTTCAAGATCGCCTTTTAGCCCTCGACAAGAAGCTCGAGGAGAGCATGTCGAATTTCATTACACCCGGAGAAGAATGCTGAAAAAGCTGCGGGCAGTCGCCTCAAACTCGGAATATCGCAAGGACTTGATGGTGCGGTCTAGAATATGGTCTCACAGGATTTTCCGCGGGGTTTGACACCAAGTGATCATGGTGATCACCTTTTTATTTCCTTTTGACTATTAACCACCGTATAGCATGTTACCCATCATTGCGTTTGCCCTTCCGTGTAACACTCCATTCTGTCTCGTTCATCGTCATTTCATGCAGTATGATTTTCATAGACAACTATGGTTTGACTTGAGCGGAAGATGGTGCAGAGTAGGGTCAGGTATTTTGTCTTCATGCTGTGCATCATCACTCTGGAGCCTGCACAGCAAAGAGGTGAACCATTAAAACTAGCGGCATCAGGAGCGGCTGGGTAGCTCGACGACCATCTGTCTGCGGTCTTTTGCTTCGTCAACGCATCCAGTTCGCAGCCGACTCTTGCAGAACCTATCGCTTACAGAGCGCTCTGGGTCCCGTCGAAATCCATGCTGCATTTATCGCTCCACCCTGCATGTCAGGCGCGCTACATACGAGAACTTGTCCCCTGAGTTGTTTGCTCTTCAAACAGCAGGTTCAGACAACTCTGACGGGAATTACTTACATGGTATTTCACTTCCCCGATATTGTCAAATTCTGGTTGTCCTGATCTGTTGGATCATCACGACAGTTACTACAACTATTGGAAGGACTGCGAACAGCTGAGGCTCAGGATGAAAGCGGACCCTGCGTGCACGGATACACGAGTGTTTGAAAGATACGCCATGGTCACCGAACATGATTAGGTGGATTCATTCTGCAGAGACACTGCTGCTGGCCAGGAAGTATTCTGTCTGGGGTCAAAGGAATCAAATGCAGGAATCCATGATGCTGCTGCTGCTACACACAAGACAAGCATTGCAGAGGTACGAGGCGACCCTGAGCATCTGTACGACAAGCCTGGCGTGTGTTATGGGCGAAGCTCAGGCGGGGAGTAACCAGTATTGAGACTGCTTCGGGAAATTCATGTGCAACCATTATTATCAGGGCCATCTATAGAGTACTAGAGGATCGATTATCTCGTCTACCCTCTGTCAGAATATAATCTATACCCAAATACCTCTCTACTCTATCATATAAACTGCCTCCTAATCACGCAACGTAGAAGTAGAAGCACTGTACCACAAATGCACCTGCATTTCTCATCCATCTTGGTGACCAAACCTGCAGATCCCAAACACAACAAACACAACAAAGAAAGTAATCTTCCAACCCACCCCAGGCAGTAACACAGTAACACTCCACCAAACACAGCACAGCATACCACTAGCCCCAGCCCAGCACAAGGGAAAGGAACACCAACAACCAAACACATCCCCCCGGAAAATAATTCCGTCTCCAATCCGCCCTAATCATACGCCCAGGCACGCACTGCATAGCACCTGCAAACAAGACCCTCCTAGCCCCGGACAACTTACCAGGATGGACGACTATCACTTGACGCCGCCAAGACAATAGGGCTGAAACAGGGATTGTTAGCTTTGACAGAAGCTACATAGATACTACGAGCCCAACTGTTTTGTTTGCAGTTGATGAAATCCAATGGAATGGTAGAGTACGGATTACGGAGGACTATGTCTGTCTATCCGGATTTCGGTCGTACGAGTCGTGGCCCTGGCGTCCAGAACTTGGCAGCAGCCCGTAGTCGTATACTGTCAATGAGACGAGTTGAGACGAGGCGAGCGAGGCTAACTCTCAGACACTTTCGATGCGCGGGATCCTTCAGACTATCTATCTAGTACGCAGTAAGTACTTACCAGGTTCTTGTTCCAGTTCTGCTGGGTAGATTGAAGGAGATTTACTCCAGCGGCCCGGCGGGTGGGATAGGCGGGTTCAGGTTCCGGATCTTCGCCGATGGGTCTTACTCCCGAGTGTGGACGGGACGGTGCGTACGATGATTCCCGTTGTTAGTGCGTGGACGCATGATACTTTGATAGCAGAGGGAGGGATGCATGGTTTAGTGGATAAGTATGTTTCTTAGACGGATTTCAGTTGGTCTGGAGTCTGGAAATTGCCTGTATGGAGTACCGGGTTTGTGACAGGTCGAGTGCCAGCCGATAGGCCAGGAGGAGATGGGCCAAGGTTTTCAAATACACTCAGAATCATGGTTAAATTAGCGGTGTATCGGCTTGGATCTGTTACTAATCGAGCTATCTACATGATGTCCAAAATACTTTGGTGTCCAGGATTCACATCAGTGGCAGTTCCATTGCAACCAGGGCCCTACAGATGTGATGAGGGATGAAGGACTTGATTAACAAAAGTATCTTTGCTTCGTGAAGTGCGCAAGGAGTACTTTTGCAACAGCCAAGTGTGTGATGAGCCAGTCGAACTGCATGTCGGTGTATTGAGTATGTTGTCATTGAGTAAGAGTAAAGTATACACAGCATAAGAAGTAGATGATATAGATAGGAACCCCTCGCTCAAACGTAAGAAGAACAGATAAAAGGCGGAAAAGAAAACATCCCTGTCCAGATGTACCCAAAACCAATAGTATCCTGGCGTCGTCGTTCAATTCTTCCCGGAGCTCATAATCCGTGAAACCCCAGATGCATGGACGAGGATCGAGAGAAGGAGTCAAGCCAGAACCGGATATGCTGCCATATCTTTGTTCGTAGTTTATCGTGATGATAATAAAAGGTGATCAGGTGACGACGGAATGTGAAGGCACGGCTTATGAGTAGAATGCACTCTTCTGAAAGCTCTCCGACGAGATGTCACCCATTTTCCCCTTCAGGACTGGCTTCTCATCGGCAGCATGAGCCTTTTCAATGACCGATGTCATGGTATTGCTACGGCTGCCCACTTCGCTGCCGGAGGTGATGGCCTGCTGCGCAGGTTTTCGTTGAATGGTTTCGAGGTAGGGCCCTGGGAGGTAACCAACACGGCCGTCCCGGGCGCGGCAGCGCCACCACTCGGATGCGTTGCCCATTGGGTCTGTTTTGCTGAGAACAGCGACAATATCACCCTTGTTGACGGCAAGATCGATACCGGCGCTTTCCTGAGACTCGGGGGTATAATCATACAAAACTCGGCAGAAATCAAGCTTCGACGGGTCCAGTGGCGCTTGCATGGGTTCTCCATTTGGTCCCAGCATCATCTGCTTACGCTGCTCTTCCTGTGAGCGCGCGAGGGCCTTGATGAGCTTGCCCATCAAGTACGGAAGACCGAAGACGGCGATCAGGAACATGAAAAAGGGCTTCTTCGAAGGCTTGGGGGGAGCAGGAGAGCCGTCTGGGAGCGTGGCGGGCGCCGAGCGCCCGTGCATAAAGGCCGCAAACGCGGACGGGGTGAGAGAGGCAGCATCAGCCGGTGGGGGACGCCCCGTAATCTTCGCAATCAACGTCCTGAACCATCTGATTATTGTGAAAATTCCCAAAGCGGACCCAAGAGTATTTCGCAGATTCCCAAACTGCTCTGCAACAGAGACCATGGCTTTGAAGAAGTTAGTTTCAAGGTCCGACAAAGCAGCCACTAACTATAGAAAACATACCAAAAAAGGAGCTATGAGTCGCCATATATGTGCTCTCCAGCATCTGAGCAAACCCACCAAATGCACCCACAATACTCTCAATCATCTGAAAGGTAGCCTGCGTGCTCTGGCTGAACGAATTCGTCAAGCTGTTGGGATCATTGGGATCGCCAGGCATGCCGGCACCATACATGCCTCCCATGCCTCCCATGCCGCCGTACATACCCCCGTAGCCACCATAGCCTCCATACATGGAGCCCATCGTACCGAAGCGGGAGTATGGCGATGAATATGCGCCGCCGTAGCTGCCATAGCCGGTTCCATACGGCGTGGTACCGAATCGCGATGCGCCATAGGGGGAATAGTTCGACGCTGTCCGGTTCACAACGGAGTTCAATGTGTCAGGGCGAGAAGGCAAGGAGGGAGCAGTAGAGGATGATGTTGTTGAGGTGGATGTGGGTATGGCGGAGGTAGCGGTCGGCGCCGTCGCAGCGGCGGCTGTTGGAGTCATGGTCGAACTAATGGCGGGGGACGCTGATAACACAGTCCCTGATGGAGCAAAGTAACAACATTAGTGATCAACCTCTCGATCATAGAGACAGCACAGAATAAGTATTCAACAGCAGCGAGTCACCTACCACCGCCAGCAGTGCCTGCTCTCTCCCACGGTTTAGGTGGCGAAACCGACGCCATGGAGTTGCGGGGAGGGGAAATTTCTCACCAGCCTCGCATTTGACCCCAACCGAAAACCAGGAACGATGGAACTAGATGGCGAGTTGCTAGATTGATTGATGTGAGGATGATGGGTGGAACTTGGATGCGCAGAAGAGAGGGGACGCACGAGATGATTGAGAGAAGATGGGGAAGACCTGGAGTTCGGCGGCGGCGGTGGAGCCCTTCTGGCTTGTCCGACAAAAGGACAAAAATTACATGGCGCATGTGGCCACAGATGCCGAGGCTGTCTTCTTTTGCCGACGGAAACTCTTCTGAGCCGGAGAACACCGTGTTGATCTTCATCATCGTGATGTTGATTATTGATCTACTCAAACAGTTTGTATCATTGGTTGCACAATAATATTACTGGTTTTATCACGCTCTTCCAGTGTATTAACTTTGATCTATGACAATGTTCTTGTGTCTCAAGTACAGCTATTGTCCATACTGAATACGCTCCTACATTATCAACACCAAACCACCACAGCTGACTGTTTCAATGCAACTCAGAACTTTCTCGTCAATTGGAGTAAATATACCCATATTATACATGCCCTCCAGAACTCCCAAGATGCAACGCCGATTTCTAGACGCCGCGAAAGAAAAAAAAAAAATCAGACCCCCCGTTGTCTATACAGTTCGGCAGGCGCCGATGGCTAGGAAATAAGTGGTCTAGTACGCTGGAATCGACTATAACTCGTCACGACTGCGCATCTCGGGATGTTGAGGAAGCCGAATTCTCCACGACCGCGGTGGCACAGGAAGACCCAGCCAGTAACTCCAGGCGCGGTTGGCTTCCAGGACGAAGATTTCCCATCTGCAATACACAATCAGCGGTTAGTAACTGTGCAGAAGGACAAGGATTAGGAAGATCTTACAAAGTTTTCGGCATATTCCACCAGCTCTTCAGGACGTAGATGTATGTGTTCCACACTACCTCGAATTCGGCCTTAAAACTGTCCCACAAAGTATCCGATTCCTTGTGCGGCCGTCTCTCCCATGGCAATCTCTCCGTCGCGTACTTGAAGTCGTCGTCGTCATCCTCGTAATAGAACGTTGATCCTCCATCCTTGTATAGGACCTTCGCTCTCGGACCGCCAGGATGGTCCTTCAACAAGGGCGTTCCCGCCATGATAGCGAAAGTCTGGCCCTGTCCAAGATCCATGGCCCGGTGGAAGCTTCGTACAGCAGCCAAACTATGGGAAATGCGGCCAAGAGTGTTGATCAACGCGACTAGCTCAGTTCGCCGTAGTAGTGGATTTTCGCCATTCTTAGTCTCGTCGTAGTCGAACAGCACCTTCAGAGCCGTTCCATATCCATTCACCTGGAGCTTGCCCCACAGTCGGCACTTATCGCAGCCAACACAGTCCATCAATCTGCTCACATTTCTGAAGCGGTTGCGGAACTCTTCCTTCAAGCCGGGTGCGCTCGGGTCCTGGAACATGATATTCTCATCAAAAATCTGCGGCCGATCAGCGAGGATCGCAGTCAGCTGGGACACCTTCTTCTTAGTCTCGCTGTCCTGGAGCGGATCGCTTGTGCAAAAGGTGTAGTTCTGAAGGTGCTTCCGCAGCTTCGCCACGGCCCGCGAGACGAGTGCATAGTTGAAGTACAAGTTAGAAATGCGCTCCGGGTGATCATGCAGACGCTCTTTGAAGCATTGCAAATTGGGGTGCCACTGTCCTGTGGTCTGGTTGAGATAATCCCAGCAAAGATGAGTTGAGATGGATGCATGCATGCCGCTGATGAGGCGATGAAAGACCCGCTTCTCAAGGCACTCATTATCAAAAGGCAATCCTTCGGAGCGTTTCATCTCCTTTTGTATTACGTTTCGGAAGTCATTGACGGCCTGCAAGCCTCCTAGGGATGGATGCGGCGACAGTCCCATCTCCGGAGGCGACTTCAGAAAACAGTTCTCCCGGTAGATGGCGTCCCAGACCTGATGGGCTCCCGGTCCTGCGTAGCCCGTGAATCGTTCCGGATTATCTACCAAACTGACGTAGTCCCCTTTACCACTGGCCCCTTCGTCTTCCGGTACACAGTAATCGCGATCATCGCACTCGTCGTCGTACTCGACCACGCAGCTTTCCCCGACGTTTGCGCCGAGTTCGCCTTGAAGCGGTTTGTCACTGGGTCGTTCTTTTTGAAGCTTGCGGCCGGGATGGCCGGCTTTGGGACCTTCCAATTTGCTAAGCTCCTCCGCGCGCCATGTCAACGGGATATCCTCCTCCGACTCTATCGTGTTGACGGAACACGCGATATTGCCGCACATGCTGTGGGCGTCGTCCCAGAACGGGCATTGCTTGTTGAATAAGTTTAGGCGGTAGTATGAAAAGAAATCCGTCTCTTGCGTGATCGACTGGAGAAGGCTGTAGATCTGATCGTTGAGAGAATCGACAGTGACGTAGGAAACACAGGCGTCGGAGACGGTGGCGGAGGGGTCAATCTTGAAGAACACATAGTCAGAAAGAGACATAGAAATATTCTTGGTAGTAAAAGCCACTTACTGCGCAAACAGAGTGGTCATATCGCTGATGGTCTTGATCCTCGTGGGCATTGGTAATCCGCAAAAAGGCGAACACTGCCAGGTAAAAGACCCTGGCTGCTGAGCGCATTTTGCTGTCAAGGTTTTAAAAATGCATATACTAGTATGGTGTTCTTTTAAGATCGAACGGAGTGACGAAGATTATGATCAGTCGCTCTGTTGCCCTTTCACATGAAAATAGACAAGTGGACCTCGTCGAGGATTATCAATCAAGCAAAGATAAAGCCAAGAACTCGAAGTCTCATGCAATAACGAAGGTACAGGAGGATTCGGTGCTATGCAATGAATATGGAAGGGGAGTAAAAGAAAAATACAAATCTAGGCTGAGGGATTGTAAGAAGGATGGCCACAATTTACAGCGTGGTATGTTCGAGTCCTCAATAAGACTATTCAGAAGTGGACAAGCTGGCCTTCCTCTGCGTGTGGCGGAGTGCACCCGCAGTAGTAATCGGATGATCGCCAACGACGGCAATGGAATGTCCCACGCCAAGCAGTCAGAAGTAAGGCATTTGTCTAGTCTGTCTACTTTGTGTCTAGTTAGTGCATTTCAGGACTGGTTTCTTTTGATATTACTGGTTTGCCAGATGCCCATGCCGACAAGTCCAGATCAGCCCATTCTAAAACCTCGCTATTCATCAACGTCGTCAGAACAAAAGAGGACAGCTGTGCAATTTGGCCTATCTGGCTTATCCCTATGGACAGACTAAGTACACAAATGCATACACTCAGGGGAAAGGATAATGATCAATCATCTCTTTCTTGACACTAGTGTGAAGGCTACTCTCTCGCCTACGCCTCCAGATTAGGCTTAGCGCGACACATATCTCACCTTCTGCCTCATACGTAGATAGTTTCATCTTAGATGGTTCGAAACTCATTCCACTCTCACAGTCGCTCGCCACCCTCGAGATCATGCCCTTCACCCATCTCTCTAATCCTCTCATCCCGACTCTCAACCAGATCCTCTCCCGCTTGGTCCAGGGTTGACTGATCCAACAACTTCTCAAAGCCAAGCGTCTTAGCGGCAAACTCAAAGATCATCCTTCCCACTTCAGGCGCATGCTTCGTGAGTCCATGATCATCCCCGGGGAGCAGCTTCAACTCTCTCGGACCGTTATTTCCATACTCCCTGTACAGAGTCTCCGAGCACGTCGGCGAGAGCACCATATCATCGGTCCCATGCAGCAAGAGCCGCGGTCGCGGACTCAGTTTTCTGATCCCTTTAGTTTCTGCCGTTTGACTCGCAACGGTAGCCATTGCGCCGCGACGGTGAAGCAAAGGCTACCGCCCACTCCTTCGCCTCGGTGACGTTGTAGCTGCGAGGTTCGTGTAGAATGGCCGGTGCGTCATGATCGAGCGGATCCTTGACGCGGATGTTGACATGTCTCGCGATCGAGGGTTTGATGGCCTTTTTCTCGATTTTGGGAGGGTGGACCGGTCCCGGGCTATGCAGACTATGGGGCTTAACTGCAGCCATGGTCTTGTTAGAAACTCCCAGGTGTCGCCGTAGATTTGGTAGTGAAGAATGCAAGTGATATTGAAGATAGGACCTCATGCAGCAAAACATACTTTTATTCTATTTGTCTAGACGCGATTCAAGGCCATGTCGTTTATGTACGAGTCGCTCCGTTGCTAGTATTTTTGATATCAGTCTGACGGGACATGACGCAAGGACTACCTATACAAGTTGTTTTAGCGGAAAAGCCACACCAGGAGGCAACAGACACTGGTGGCAAGTTATAGCACGACTTGACCGTCGCATTACCAGAATTTGGATAGTCAGTATTCGATCAATTCTACATGTTCGGGGCTAAGCATATGGCTGCATTGAATTATAGAGCTACCTGGAAGATCGGGAGAAGACCGACTTCAATCCACATATTTGATTTGACTAGAAGGATGAAGTTGAGCCTGTCTTTCATCGCAGTAGTACAGGCATAATCCGTTATTATATCCCAAAGAACCTTAACTCCAGGTGTGACCGACTCCAATAATGCCGTCACATATAGCAACACATACACACACAAAGGAAGTAGGGAAAAAAGCTGTACGGCATAAAAAACCCTTGTTACATGATTCCAAATTACGCCCAAAAGTCCGGGTATCACTTCCAAATTCCGAAGTTGCCGCTCCTGAAAGCCCTCGTCTCGCGATTTTGTCCGTTTCCTGAAACTGTAGGACAGATTGGGACATCAGTGAGGGAAAGGAGCTCAAAGTAGGCGTAAAAAGAGACCCCTTGTCCCATGAAATTGCACCAATCCATAGGGTATATAGTCGTAATAGCGTAGATGTCGTGTCGTATATATTCCGAGTCGTGAATTCGTACAGCGTCGAGTAGTCATTCAGGCATATTGTTGATTGTTGTCACCAAGCATATAGCTCTGCATTTGCAACGGTGAAGACGGAGACAGTTTGGGTGATAGTAATAGTACTCCACTGGCAGGTCGTTCATCGTTGCGACATCGAAGAAGTGATGCGTTCAATAACAGTGGTAGCGTCCTGCGGGCAGGCTGTTGATTGCTCGACGCTCAGGTGGTTTTATTGCGCTTCCAACTGCGGCAATGACGACTGAATGCTTTGCGGATAATTTCGAACGGCTTTGGGAGCGGACTGTTGTAGAAAGGGTCCTTTTTGAAGTCTTCTTCAGTAAATTTCTAACAGATCGATCAGTACTTTGAAATTTGATTACGAATAAGCACCAAGGCGACCTACCAAGCCTGGGAAGCGAACGAAATTGCCATAGTCGTTCATCATGTTGGTGCCCTCCTCATACTCGTAGGTTCGTCCTTCCCTGTCTGTAGTTCCAGGAGGATAGAATGCGACTCCATCCAACGGGCGATGGCTGTTGAGACAATCGGCAAGCTTGTCCTCTGGGGTCGCCTTGAGAGCCTCGTTGGTAGACCCTTCAAGAGCTGCAATCGGGCTAGTTTTGGCGTCGTGATTTCTTTCCGCATAGACGGCGTCGTATGGGCTCTCATGGTGGTAATGAAAGACACCTGCATTGTCCAGGCGATCAATGACATCTGGAGTGACAAGAAGCGAACCGCGTCGGTATCTGGTGCGATGGCGGCTGCCTTGAGTGCTCTGCTGAGCGTACGTAGGGTGATATGTGTTTCGTCTTCTCCTTGGCTCTACTGGCTGGTGCTCAAGTTCACCAGACCAGTAGATAGAAGGCACAGAAGGTGAGCGTTCTAAACTGAGAGTGTTGAGCGTCGATGTAGATGAAGAGGGAGAAAGAGTAGGAGAAGGAGAGATGTAGCGATGGTAGGGGTTGTTGCTTCCCAACTCCATGGCCATGTCGACGTTCATAGGATGTTGACTAGGCTGATTCCAACGAGAAGGATACGAAGCCATATACATGGAGTCAGCGGAAGACACCATGGCTGTTCGACTTTGAGAAGAGATGATCGAGGAGTGCTCAAGGAAAAAAAATTCCTCCGGCTTTTAATCTCTGGAATCTCCTGGCTTGGACAGAGACGCAGGTGTCTAATAGTAACTCTGCGCTATCGAATGCAATCTTACCGATACTTTCTGTTGAGGTGGGGCTGACTGTCCGATTTGGGGTCTGAAAATGTGTTCAAGCGAAAGAGCGGTGTTTCGACGCATAGAAACGATGATTGTCGCGGATTATCAGCTCAGAAAATGAGGCACGAGAAGCACGTTCGAGGAAAGAATCAGAGAAGGAGGAAGAGCACCCAGAGACAGTAGAGAAAAGATTGTCTACAAAGTGTACGACCAAAGAGTGACGTGACGACTTGCGTATACCTAATACCCAAGGGTCCTGGGGCTTATCGATAAGGGGCCCACCCCTCCCTCTTGGGCTTAGTGATTATGATTTATGCCTTATCTAGCTTAGTGCATAGGCCTTGCCGAGTGACTAGACCCATTCGGTTACATCGGCCACGGCACTCGATGATGAAACTGATGGGCAAGCACCGAGAACCCGTGGAAATTTTCGCCTCAAATGGCTTCCGACGATCCCGTCGATCCATGGATGTGGATGGAAATTACGTTCGTGTGCCTGAGTATGACTCAATGATCTCCTGTCAAAGGTCATCAGAATCTCACATAACGAGCCCTATGACGTTGTTCAGTCAGTATGAGAACCCGTCACATATGACAGGCACAAGGTTTTGTCTGTAGGCTACAATCTGATCTTCTTATTCGGCCAAAACAAAGTATCTAAGCAGTCACTGAGGGAAATATCCATTGCTACTATCTCATGCACTCCCTTTTAGATTTGTATTGCAAAGATTAAGCTCACCGTTAGTCTGAATGTAGCGTCACTTAAGACTTAAAGAGTGCACTACTAAGGCCCATTGTAGTCTAGGCAAAGTGCAGATAGACTAAGTCGAAAAGGAAAGCAGATGTAGAAGCTACTTGGACAAACAGAGCACCCCTCCCATCCCTATTATGAATACATGGGTTTAACTCCGTAGATAAAAGTTTATCATCAGGCCTATTTAAAAGATTGGTTTAGCCTCCAGAGATGGGTGGCCGTAAGAGCGTCATGGATTGTGGAAAAATCTGTAACGCTTCAATGTCAGTGCTACCATTACCCCACACGTCTATGACAGGGCCTTCCTCGTTCTAGACCAACATTCGTCGCATCAGGTCACTTTAAATATGAACACCCTTCAAGGAGTTTTACAACGCTTGCTCGCTGTATATTCTGGAGACAGGAATTGCGCATCTATCTATAGTCTCGTAGCATGGACCCATGATCCTTAAATCATGTGTTCTACTCAAAATGCGAAGCTTTTTGTATCTCAACCTCTCTATATGTAACAATTGCGCGTATGGTTCTTCCACAAGTCAACTCCCGGAAACGTTGTCTAATACATCGCCTTTTGATAACAATTCTACTTTGTAACTTAAGAAAGAAGCATAGAGACGCTTTTGATTACAATTGACACTCTTTCGATGAGAGAATAAAGCCTACCTACCAGCCAATCAGTAACTCTGTTGGTAACGGGAGCGACTTTACTTAGTAAGAAACAGTAATACCATTACAGTAAGTTTACGCTTGCTTCTCTTCAACCCGCTTCTTAACTCAAACCCCTACCCATTGCCGCGATGGCTTTGGTGCAATACTCTGATACAGAGTCAGATACAGAAGAGAGTGGGGAGAAATCGCCTAGACCTGCAAAGAAACCCCGTCACAACAACACTTCTGCCGATGATCGAGTATCATCTCTCCCCCCACTACCAACAGCATTTCGTGATCTGTATGCCTCGAGCACTCGCGTGAGTGTACGAGACGATCCTAGTCTTCATGGAGGCCGTAAGCGCGTCATTCCCCATGTGGAAGGGAATTGGCCTACCCATATATACCTAGAGTGTGAGTTTCATGCCTAGAATTTACGGATGGGGACTGAATCCGACAGGGTATCCGTCGAAAGCAGAACTCGCTGTCTTGGATGGTATATTATCACAGGTTGAAATCAAGTTGGGAGGACGTGCACGACAGATCCATAGCTTATTAAGAAGCGATCTGGGTGTCCAACTCCCGCTTCATATCAGTCTCTCCAGACCAGTGGTTCTTCGCACTGAACAGAGACAGCCTTTCATGGATATGTTCCAAACAGCTCTTCAAGAGTCTACAGTCCCAGCGTGAGTGTTTCACGCTTCTCTCGTGGACATTCGGGTTGCTAACGGACCACCCAGATTTTCTGTCAACCCTTACAGCCTCGACTGGGTCTCTAATTACGAAAGGACGCGGTGGTTCCTCGTCCTACGGGTGACAAAGCCCGCAAATGATAACTTGAACCGTCTCCTCGGCCTGTCAAATCGCTCCTTGGCTCACTTTGGCCAACCACCGCTGTATGCGGGTAGGCCGGCTGGCCCAGTACACAGACTTGAACGACATGAAAGTGTCCAACCAGATACACAGCCCGAAGACCTTTCTCACTGTTTCCATGTCTCCCTCGCCTGGAGCTTGACAGAACCAACTCCGGAGCAGAAGAAGAAAATCGAGGCTATAGATCTTCACCGCTTACGGAGTCTGTTCATTCACTTTGACTGTGTAAAGGCCAAAATTGGAAACAATATCTCGAGCATACCCCTTTCGACTGTATGAAGTTTTTGTTAGGGTATAACCGAAGCGTAAATTGGTGTGAACTGAATGATATATGCTTAGCCTCCCTTTTTAGAGGAGAAGGTATTACGGCTCCTCAGTTACCTAGTATTCCATTAGTCTTTCAAGATTATTCTACCTCGCGGGCCCTGAGCTCCATACAATTTATTTTCGTTCCCAATGTTCTACCTTGGAAATGCACCACTGTGTGTACTGCGCAATACGATACCGCCTTATACTACCTTAGGACTACTGGCCCGAGCCGCACTAACGCGTCATCCCTCATCATCCTTTTCAACTCAAAACACTCAACTTCTGAAAATCAAGAGGTCTGCTTGTGGCGCATCCCCCCACCATGATGTCGAGTCTACAGATACCATCTGTTACAATAGTGAGTTTGCCCTAAGCTGATGTTATGCATACGAGAAGCTGATAATCTCCCTAATTTCTAGGAAGATTTGCAGGCCTTTCAAGCGAAGCATTTTCCCAGTAGTCAACAAACCACGTCGCTCAACTACACCTATAGCGAGACTGTAGATAACGATGTTGACGATGATGACGGCCTTGGTTACTACCCAGATGGCGTGAAGCGTACTCTCACGGACGAGCAGATCCGCATTTTCAGGCATAGTGAAATCCACTCATTACTTCGCCAGAAGGAACTACGAGAAGAGGAGCTGGCTGAGGAGGCCAGTGAATTAATGCCTGTGAGGCAGGTTGATGGGGATGTCGCTGAAGGGCAAGAAGACATGCCCTCTGGTATTCCGGATGGTCAACAGGAGAAGATACCTGAGGCGAGAGAGGGCACTGGCTTGGAGCCAAATGAGGCACAGGATTCGTCTACAATGAAGCGTTCGGATGAGGCAGACTCTCGAGAAAGGCTTGATTATGATGACATTGCTACAGTGCAGCGGGAAGCACATGCGCGTGGTTCGACCTTTGCTGGACGCAGAATCATATCCTACGATGATTGAGAACGCTATGCGTCGGCAAACAGTCATATGACATTTTGCAACGACTGGCTTTCGGCCTTGACATTCCTCATGCCAGATTTTCTCCGTTGTCATCGTTCTGACTACAGAATTGGAGACTGGCTGGCTCACCCAATGCGCGTGAGTGCCCCTTTTTTGTGCATACTCGCTTTCTTGTTCTGTGATGAAATTTATGTATCAGTCATCCTTAGTCGGATTGTCATACCATCGTCGGGTGTGTAAGACTCTGACGACTTTAATCTTCTCTCTGACCTTGCTATTTCCGCAGCCGGTTCTGCTTTTTGTCGTTGTTAAAACCATCACACTAATTATCCGAGTTATTCAGAATTTGGCCGATCGTTTGAGCAGCAAAAGCGGAATATCGGCAAGCAATCCCTTCCCCGAATCTACTCGATGATGGAGGGCTACAGAGAGCCTGCAATGATCCTGACCGTTCAGCCGACAGGCAGCAATAAAGTACTACCTGGGCAATTACTGAGTTAGCGGTCAACACTGTTAACGAGTCGACGTCGCAGGCAACACACACGGCTGGGAACATTGTCGTGTTTGCAAGACGCAATAATTGGCTAGACTAGACTTCAGCAGCCATTTCATCTCTGGATGTGGTTGGAGCCGACGCCAGACGGGCTCTTGATGCTGCTTTCGAGGGCTATGTTTTCCAAGGCCGTCCTGCGATACCCTTGTCCTTCAGGAAGGCACGATGAACTTTGCGGCAGTAAATAATGATTCATTGCGGGCACATAGGATGGAGTTGGATTTGCTTTCAGTCTTCCCACCTGCTATCAGCCCCCAGTCCTCGCAGAAGCGCCCCGGACTTACCCCATTTGTGACTGCCTGCAGACAAGCGTTCTCTTGTTCCTGGTCTGAGGTTTACGTTGAGCCAGCGTAGTTGGATGTACATTTGATGAAGCTGAGTTTGACACACAGTCGGGGGATTGTCGTAACTGATGAATGGGATTGTGGTAACCTGTGAATATTCGATCTCTGGCCGGTCGTGGGCTGGATACATTGGTATCTTAATATATGTAACGGCCCATAGCCACGAACACTGCTAAGCCTGCCGCGATCTGAACCCTGCTCAGATACTACCTACACACTGATCCAATGATGATCGACTTGGTGTGCATATATATATATATCCATGTAAAAAAAATGATATGGAGGAGAATTAGCCGGGTCGTCCAATTTTTCGATTTTTGCACTTCCTCCCAGTATATTTCGACATCCCGGGAGTAAATGAACGTCATTTCACCACTACTGCTCCCTCCTCGAGAGGCTGTGCTAGGATAAAGTGTAGCGTATACTTCAATGCA